GAAGGGAAAGCATTTGCAATATAGCAATTATATAGAGCATTTAATGTATATGTATTTATATTAATATATATGTATTTTTATGTATATGTCTATGTGTATGTGCATGTGTATATGAATGCAACATGTATTTATTCAGATGCATATCTACATATCTGTGTATGCAACATCTCTTGTACCTCCCATTTTAAGGCTCTGCCACCATCCCTCTTGCCTGGTAGTCTCCTACTGTGTCAGTCCTGCAAGGGACAGTTTGCTTGCTCACAGTTTCCACTCCTGAACTTCCTGCGTGGCCAGCCAAGTCCCCTCGGACACTTTGCATCACAGGGAATACATGTTGATTCTCCTATCCTGGATACTATTTGTCCTGCAGCTGGTTAAATTAGTAGGTTCCATTCAACAACCCATTAATTTTCTCCATCTTGTAGAACTGCTTTAGATTTCTGTTACTGCTCGTGGCTATTCAGTGTTATTACATGCATGTGTTCACCTTCTTTTTCTCTTTCAAATAGCTGAGAGAGAAAAAAAATGCTCTGCAGTAATGTGTTACTATTTGTGTTTGGGAACCACCCAGGACTGGTGCATAAATACATGCTAAGGCCAGGATAGCAGCTGGAGAAACTTGTTGCCCCATGTTGCAATCACAATGTATTCACATTAAACTGGTGAATCATTAGCCTTGGTGATGCATATTAGAGTTGCAGAGCAGAACCAATGGATTCATGAACATAATGTATTCTCCCAAGGCAGGCTAAAAACCATTTACCATTCTCTAATTATTAAAGTAGTGGTAAAGTGTAAACATGCCTTAGCATGCACTTCTTTGAAGTATTTATCTATCTCTGTCTCTATCTGTCTATCTCTCTCTCTCTCTCTCTATCTATGTGTCTATCTGTCTGAACCGGTCTGCTACTGGAAGAAGGTTTCTGAGTCCTGGTGGACAAATAAGAAACATAAACCCATGAGTTATTGCCTTTGTATTTATATGGGAATTGCCCAATATTCTTTTTGTCTCTTTCTCTTTAAATTCTTTTGTGTATTATAGGAGTTTTAGAAGGAAAGACGGAGCAGAGCTGTAAAATAGCCTTTCTTGTATGTACGGCTTTTAAAAACAGTGGGATTCATTGTGGAAGAAAAGTGCAAATTACTAATGTTTTTCAGGGGCTTTTTATTGTCAGTGCGATAATTCAATAGATTACCTCTTGATTTTTAACTGAAATGCAGTCTCATGAGAATTTCAGATTCTATAAGGATCAAACTGGAGAAATATCAGACAAAGCGATAAAAAATTTCTCTAAAGAAAAAGCAGCAGTATGACATGAAACAGTGACCTCTCCAAAAGCATATCATAAGTCACTCTTGCTGAAACTTATTGATCATACTTTTCCTATTTCTATGGCATTGTCATTGATACTGTGCTTCCAAGTAATCCACCTATGGCCCTGCTAGCCTGTCATCCAACATGATGGTTTGAATTTCTCCTCGTTCCCCTGGTGTTTTGCTTCAGTTATCTCAACATTTTATTTTTCTCTGTTTTATGTTAGACTGAAATGACTTTTTCATATTTCCCCCTTGCCACCTTTCAAAAGGTTTTAAAAATGTGATCAGACTCTTACAGAACTGCTAAAACAAACAAAAATATCCCATCATTGACTTTTCACTGTTCTTTTCCGTTTTTTAAAATCTAAGGGTCCATTCTAAGGGTAAGATATGTGATTTGAACATATCCTTCCTTGGATTGTGGTATGGACAGAAAGTACTTCTGTCCTTTCTGCCTCCTTGTTCTGTTTGTGTCAAAGGATGCGTCTCAAGCATTTTCTAATTTCTGTTTCCTAAGTAGCATGATCCTGGGAGCAAAGTACTATTCTGGGACTCTGCTACATGCAAACAACCCCCACCATCACTGTGTCATGAAATCCTTCAGTATGAGCCAGAAAAACCCTTCTGACTTTTGTGTGAATCACTCTGTTAGCTCTCAATGACGCCGACTGTTTGTTTGATCCCAGCCAGAACCTTATCCCTGTTTCTCCCATGGAAGCAACCCAACTTTTGAATTCTCCTGTAACCTTGCCAGAAATGACAAGCGAAGAAGTAACATACGCAGACCTGAGGTTCATGACACTGGAAAAATCCCAGGACCAGGAGCTCCAGACTGCCAGAGTGAAAGGTAGTGGTGGTGTTGGGGGGCATCTCTCTCCAAGGCAAACTCTCACCTTGGAGAACATTTTTTATGTGGCACTCAGAGGAGGATGTCACCTGCAAATAGCCTGTCAGCTTCTGGAAGCCCTTTGGACTCAAATCTTCTCAGAAATTGGAGGGACAGAAAAAAAATCAGAAGATTAAAAAAAAAAGGAAGGTTGGAGAATGTGGAAAAACTGTTTAGATTTGAGAGGAGAGATATAATTAGGGTTGTGGGATGCAGTTAAGTAGAAATAAACATGTTCCAGTTAGGCATTAAGTGTCAGTCCCTGGAAGTTAGTGAAGTAATCTGCCTAAGGGACCTTGCAAAAGTCTTTCAGCTTTACTCATTTAAATATGACTAACTGAATGAAATAAATTCTAGGGAAAAAATGTTTTCTGTCAATGGAAGTAATAAATAGACAAACACCTTTTTGTACTTAAAAATCATAAAAATTATGTTACATAGCTTCACAGAGGAAGGGAGGTATGTGACTGATCCCAAATCTATATTCTTTATGCTATGCATTAGTGCTTTATAATTGCTCTGTATGAAAGGTTATATCAAAGCAAAGAGATTTTATGTTCTGGCTTGACTAAACGCCTGGAGATGGATTTGCTAAATTTGATAATAATCTGGTAGATTAAAGAGCTCTTTCTGAAGGAGATTTCCCCTTATTGGCTAGCCAGTCATTATATTGTTCTCACTTTTTGAGGGGTCCTTGAGTTTTAGACTTGGACGCTGAAGCTGAACTCCTGGAAACCTAGTAAGGTCCTTCTCAACTCTTTGGTTAAAGGGTTAGGGAACTCAGGGAATGAAAGGCAGAAATACCACAGGTTGGCATGCCAGTTATTTCTGTTGGTGACTTCAACATAATATTAGTATTCCCACTGAAATTTTGTACTGGAGTCTAGTAAAAGAACACAAAAGTCATAAATTGGAAGCAATCCTTTCCCCTGTGTTTTGGGATGGTGTAAATTCACACAGGTGCTTGCATTTCCCCACATTGCAAGAATGTGTGTGTGCATTTCCAGGTGTGAGACTGTTTCTGTGCAACTGCAGGTATGTGGTCTTGTTCACACCTCTATGCCCTAATTTCAGGTTGTTTTGCAGAGGCCTGGCTTTCATTGGTGACTGTTTCTGAGGTTATTTTCTGAAAAGGCGAATTAATTCCTGATTTGGCACATTAGGCATTCAAAAGTAAAAATACCCCAATACCTGGCTGCATGTGAAAATTTCAGCCATTTAAGCACAAATACTTGCTTGATGTTCTTTCCCCACATGTGAAGTTTTGTGCTGTTCAGCTTTATTTGTCCAATTAATTTTCTCTTAAAAGCCCCTGGATAAGCTAGTCTCCATGGCTTGCTCACTTCCCAGCCCCCAGCTCCTAAGGAGGACTGTCCACAGACAAATAAATGATGGGATGATTTTTATAATGTAATACCACATACTGGTCTGAAACTCAGCAATTCACTGGGCAGACTACTGGTCATGTTGTCTTGTGCTGTGTAGGAGCTGCAAATACGAAGATGAGAGGTTCCTGTTCTTGCTGCTTTCCTTCTTTTTGTCTGTCCCAGGCTCCCCCAGTCCATCTTCCTGTTGGCGACTGACTACAGTGGCGCTTGGGGTCTTCTGCCTAAGTTCAGTGGCAGCTGCAGGAGTCTTGGCTGCCAGGTGTAAGTATGGTCACGGAAAGGGTGCTCAGAGTTCAGTATGAGCAACTAAAAGTCTAGGAAATTAGTTAAGGAAAAAGATTAGCATAAGGGATTAATGATGCAAAAAAGTGTCCTGTGCTGGAAGAGTTTACCCACTCAATAGATCTTCCAGTCTTTGAAACTGGCGTGTATTAGGCCTTGCTCATAGGTGTGTGTAAGCTATGTAGGTCAAGTATATTCAGTCATGTATGTGCATCTTTGGTAAGTTTATTCAGGTTGCATCGAGAGGTTTAGCTTTAATATTAATGGAACAATTTCATTCTTGTTTTGTTGTGTTTCAAGTCATCCTGGTCTGCCACCTTGTGCATGAAAGGGATGAAAACTTCACCCTGCAAAAGGCAATTATGGAAAGCCTCAACCAGAAGCTGGAGCTCCTCCAGGCTCAGAATTTGAACTTGACAGAGACTGTAAAGCAACTTGCCACCTCCAGAGGTACATAGTGGTATGAAGATTGTGGTTCCATAGCATTATGGTAGCTACAGATTGATTTTTTTTCTATCACCACCCATATTGGAAGGAAAAAAAAA